TTACCGAAATCTCAACAGCTGAACGTTCGGTAAACAGTTATCATAGTTTCTGTAATTTTTCACAGATATTAAAAAAAAGGACGAATGAATGAAGTCGGTTTATTTTGGTAATTTATACCAATTACAAAGTACTAGTATATACTGAGAAAGTTCATCTAAAACAGTAAGATGAGACCTGGTAAAATGCTTGCAAAAGCAAAGTGAAAAGCCTTAAATAATAAGATGCAGAATACTGGTTCCCAGGGATTAAATGTGTCCGTTTTTCCTAAATATATATTTTAGTTGTATGGAACTTTGAATAAGAATAATAGTAATCACCATTTAGAATAAACAAGTGCCTTGTGTAGTAGTACCGGAACCACAATAAAGTTCTGAATACGTACCTTGCTATTCACCAAGTAAACTGTATCCAGCCATGATTTTTGAGTAGAAAAGAATCCAACGTCGAAGAAATCCACGGACCATATTTTCAACGTCTCGTCGAACCAACTTTTCACTTTCACTGGAAGTTACTACAAAGAGCTGAATGAGACGAGCCTTGCTACGATCTGAGTTTAAACATATTTTCACAATATCACAATTCGTTAACATATATTAAAACTAAATTTAAAAAAAAATAAACAAACTTCAGTTCAAATTGTCTTAAAATGCTTTGGTTTTCTTTTGTTGATACTACCAGATGTCCTAGTTGCAGAATATTAAAAATTGTCCTAATTAATAAGAATATAAAACCCTATAATTCTCCCTTATCCTTAAAGCGAATTTGTCTGGTTTGTTTGCATTTAAATTAGTCGTTTGTTTTAAGTCCCCTGTGAAAAGTCGGTAAAGGCGCAGCTGCAAAGCAAGATCATGCTGGGGCGGCTGGGTTTGATTACCGGTCCGGCAATTTTACATAACTATAGTGCAAGTGCTTATAATATTAATGATGCTAATCTATAAAACCCAGTGTTCACTCGGCTGTCGACAAAAGCAGACCACTCTCGATGTGTGCTACGCGATCGGCTGTTTTCTCGGCAGCAACCATTGTGTGGTCCTCCTCATTGTTCTTCATCAGCAGTTCTTTCGGTCGATGCGTCGTCGACTTTGGAAAGCAACCGTTTCGTGATGAGTGTGTGAGTGCTGACCACGTTTTGCGTTCATTGCTGCAATGGACGCGCTCTGACCCTCGTTGGCGTACAACAATTTGCCATACAATGAAACTACTGGAAGCGGCTCCAGTTCTGATGGAGGAGGCTTTTTGGATAGCGGAAGATAAAGTGTTTATTGTGTTGTACCTTTTGACTATATTTTTAAGATGTATTGTATAGTGACCAAGAATCCTCGGCTCTGTAAAGTTAATTCGGTTGAGCCTTACCAAATAAATTAATAAACAAAAAAAAAAAAATCTATAAAACCCCATGATGTAAGAATTTGTTCAAGTTTGAGGGGAACATAGGGTAAAATGGGGTTTTACAAAGATCACCATAAGACGGAGCTTGCACTATTCGATTCCTTGGATAATTCTACGATAATTTTGTGCATATAGGTTTATCCATTATAGTACCAATTTAAATTTCCACGTCATTTATATAGTTTTTTTTTTTTTTTAATTTGAGGGGGGATCGGGCAAAATAGCCCATTTACTGAAATCTGACCAAGACGGGGCCATCACCATTCGATTCTCCGGGCATTTTTACATAAGTACAGTGCAAGTGCGTGTAATATTAATGACGGTATGAGATATATGAGTTTGATCAAGTTTGAGTGGAATATAGGGTGAAATGGGGTTTTACAGTGGTCGCCACATGGCGAACTTTGCAACACTCGATTCCTTGGATAATTGTATAATAGTTTAGTGCATAAAGTTCAATATTTTGTCCGTCAAATTCTGCTTACCGAGTCTTTAATCTTGTTTTTATAGGACAAGGGGAAATCGGGTAAAATGGACCACTTATTGACGTCTGATCAAAGTTAAACTAGCTTTATTCATCTCCCCAGCTCTTTTAACAAGGTTAATGTTCACGTTGGCTCAATCTAAGCGCACCAAGTTCAGTTTCTGGATGATAATTATATTTTTCTTCCAAAATTAGGGGTGAATCGGGCAAAATGGACCACTTCCCGAAGTCAACCCTAAACGAGACCATCACCAATCGATTCTTCGATTTTTTTTTTCACATAAGATAGGCTATTTTGCAGGACTCCTACCGTGCGCCGTCTGATTAAGTGGGATTTTGGGTCGATTTTTCCCCACTGTGGTGTGGTCCTCCTCATTGTTCTTCATCAGCAGTTCTTTCGGTCGATGCGTCGTCGACTTTGGAAAACAACCGTTTCGTGATGAGTGTGTGAGTGTTGTTCATGTATTGCGTCCATTGCTGCAATGGAAGCGCTTTGCCCCACGATGGCGTAACTGCCATACAATGAAATTACTGGAAGTGGCTCCAGTTCTGATGGAGGAGGCTTTTTGGATAGCGGAAGATAAAGTGAAGCTAACAACCCAATTTCATTACTTCATTATGATGGCTACCAAGCCTTTGGGGATTTTCCTTATAAGAGAGTTGAATAGATTTTTCTCCTTTAGTTTACTTAAATCTTTGGTTTTAATTAGTTAGGTAGGTTCCGATTCAACACATTGTAGTTTCATTTTTATACCTGTGATCTTGACTTTTATACCTAGGGGATGAGTAGTTAAGGGGGTTAGATTTTGAATAGTTCTTTAGTGGGAATGACACTGATGAAGACTGCACATTGTAGTCGAAATACGTATCTGTCATGGATACCAAAATTAATTAAGTGGAATAAAATGGAAGATAACCTTTTTTTGCTGTTTTATTATATAAGGAAGATAAAGTGTTTATTGTGTTGTACCTTTTGACTATAGTTTTAAGATGTATTGCATAGTGACCAAGAATCCTCGGCTCTGTTAAGTTAATTCGGTTGAGCCTTATTAAATAAATTAATGAACAAAAAAAAGGAGCGAAAATACATAATCGAACCCCGTCCCAAAATCGAACGGCTTTGTGGTTTTGTTACCAAAATCGAACCATGCCAAATTCGAACGGGTACTGTACTCACAAATATTTTTTTTCTTTAGAAAAATGCAATGGAAATGCACAAATTATTTCTTGCTTTAAGTTGACTCCTTCTTTATACTATGAGTCAGTGGTTCACAAACTTTTTTTCAATTGCAACCAACTTTTAGAAATTGTATAAGCTCGCGACCCACCAATATTGTTATAGTTAAAATTTGAGTTATGTTAAACAGTTTTCAAATACGTGAAAATTGAGGCTTCTAGAATAGGCCAAATAACTCTTAAAACGTCAAAAACTACCAAGAATCTACAAATAAGTCCTAAAACTTTAAAAATTTATCAATACCAAAAATGAATCGATCCACCAAAATGACCCTAAAACACCAATAATGTCTTGAAAACGCTAAAAATATCATTTAATCGCCCTAGAAAGCCTTAATAGCCAACGTCTGATAGTGCTGTGGTTGGGGGTAGTCACGGGTAGTCGACGATTACTTAGCACCAGACTAAAAAAAACTTTTATTTATTATTGTCATCAGTAAAAGCGTTAACGAATGTTGATCACGAGAAGCGAAGTCAAATAAAATCGCAATCGAATTTGGATCACGAGAAGCAAGGACATATTTTACTTTGAAAAGCGCAAACGTTCGTGATTTGTCCCACGCGCACATGTCGCAAAACAGACATTTCAATCGTCGTGGGAGTGTCCCGGTGGACCGTCAAAAGGGTTTTAGACCGAGAAAAGAAAGGACAACTATCCGCGAAGGTGGCCGAAGGTCGTCCGAGGTCAGCTCGGGTTCCGAGGGTTATCGCTGCTATCAAAAGGAAGATTCGGGTGAATCCAGTGCGTTCAATAAGGAAAATGGCAAAGGAACACGAGATCAGTAACTTTACGGCACGGAAGATCGTAAAGGAAGATTGCGGGGCGAAGTCGAGGGCACGGAAAAAAAACTCACATGATTACCAACCGTATCCGGGAGCTACGAGTCGAACGGTGCAAGAAAATCTTGAACTTCCTTAAGCGAAAAAAAATCCGGTAATCCTGTTCACCCACGAGAGCATGTTTACCGTCGATCCCGTATCAAATTCCAAAACCGACCGGTATATTAGTTCTCCTCCGGTAAAATACGTGGCCGACGAGCACAAGAACGTGTATCTGACCAAGCATCCTGCTAGCGTTATGGTGTTTGGACTGGTGGCTTCCGATGGGACCCGGTGTTCATTCCAGAAGGCGACAAGGTCAACACGGAGGTCTACATCGAGATTTTAGTAAGTATGTTCTTGCGTGGATCAAAGAACAGTACAGTCCGAAGAAAAATGTTGAATTTCAACAAGATGGGGCTCCGTGCCACACCTCGAACCGCACTCAGAAGTGGTTGCAGGAACATCTTCCGTTCTGGGCGAAGGATATGTGGCCACCATCCAGCCCCGATCTTAATCCGCTGGATTACTCAATATGGCGCGTCATGAAGGCCAAGGCCTGTTCTAAATGCCACACGAGTACAGCAAGCCTCAGACAAACATTGACCCGTACCTGGAGATAAATGGATCCAGACTACATTATTGGAACCTGCTGTGCACTCCAGAAGCATGTAGAGGCCGTAATTGCAGCAAATGGAAACTAGATCGATGATAAACATAGTTTAATACTCTGGGAAACATCCTCCCTTTGAATAAATAAAAAAAAAACTCAAAAACGAAATTTTTTAATTTTTTTTTTAAGTTTGACATTGCTTAATGGTGCAAACATTATCACGCATACGGTATTCCTGTTTCTATGCTACATAATGGATATGTTTACAAGTAATCAATTCATCAATAGAAGTGTTTGCAAGCAATCTCAAAAACCACTGTGTGTTTTTGTGTGAATCAGATAGCAGCATTGTAAATCTGTCAACACCATTAAAATTAATAACCGTTAAAACTACCCAATATTGTTGCAATCCTATTGATGACAAAAACCATTTGAAAGAATTTTTTATTGCAACTCACTTCGCATTCAGTCCCTCGATCTCTTCGGATTGCTCGGCCAGCGATGATTCCAAATCCAGATACGCTCCGTAGTCGCCGTCTTTGTACACTTGCAGAGCTGCATCGTCCAACTGAAACGAATAAATAAAGCAAAAAATAAGCAAGGAAGAACAAAGAACCATAAGAATGCTAAAATACGATGTAGATTTAGCACAGATTTATCAAAATCGAAAGAAGAAAGGCAAACATACACGCTTAAACCTCACAGACGATACACTAAACCAGGGGAAAAACAAGAACGAGTTTCAGCTAAAATTATGCAATCGCAACAAAAATAAACAAAACGAAATAAAAACCGTTGAAGTTGAACGACCTTCGCTAAGCCTCTCGATGAGACTGGGTGGATCTGGCGGAGGCACGCTCATCCCTATAGCCCCACCAACAAATGCGATGGTCTGCAAACTAATCTCCAATTAAATGCATTTAATTCCGTTTTTTTTTCGTTGTCTTTCTCCATGTTACTCGCCGGGCAATCCTATAAAATGGATTTTCTTTCTACGTGCAATAAAAAGAATATACGTACATCCATTTCTCGTTATTTTTCCCTCAACCTGCAATCCGCTGCAATGTGAACTAGCTCCTAAGCCCAGCTCTAGACGCGACTAGGAAAGGGCATTGTTTTCCCAACCAAGAATGTGCCGTTTGGGGTCTTTCACACTGTTGAGAGGATCGTCCCCGAGCACCATTCTGTTTTAATGTGCAATTCCTACATTACACCATCGGTGCGCCGGACACTAATTCTATGAGAAGGCCACAAGGCAGTGCCATAGGAACACCATGTAGAAGATATTGGTGACGACGAGAAATAAAGGAATGAAAAAAAAAAACTGCTCTAATGATTTTCAACAACGACACCTTTTTCACGTAATGAGCCACCATCTGAGAAGCAGTACTACGAAGATCGAAAAAGAAAACTAAGCTACGAGCTTGAAGGTCAACTGGACGCACCTTGGCCACATGTGTTAGGAGGGGAAGAAAGCGTTTAATTGTCTCACGGTTTGTAGATCTTTGGGAACTACTTGAATTCGTGGACTTTCACCTGTAGTTCTGGTCGTGAACGCTATGCGTTTGTTCTGCTGACAAGCATCATTGCCCATCGTTTTGTAGTTTTCAAGGAAGACAGTTTAACAATCTTCAAAAGGGTAACCACGGTGGGCAGGAGCATCAAAGTTCAAGAACGTGAGTAAAAATGGCTTGTTATTGTTTTGAACTGTGATGAACTTTAGGCTTTTGGAAGAGGTGTGCGTGGAAAGTTGTAGAGCTGGAGGAAGCCACTCGAGTTTTCTGTTTTTGGGGCTTGAGCCTCTGGGAGGTTTAGTCTACCAAAGTATTTTGGAAATAAACCTTTAAATTGTAATTTGATAACGTATAGAAAAAGGACTCGTAATCCAACAGTCCAACAGTAGTGTAAATTTCGTTACTCCAATTATCCAACATATGCAAGCGTCAATTGTGGTTGTGACATAAAGTTCAATTAAATACAAAAAAAAAATAAACAAGTAAATTCATAACATATGTTTTGGTACTGGAACCCTAAATTTGACATGAATTACCGGAATCTTAACCACTGTATTGTTCGTAGAATACAGGCTTTATGGCTACATAAAATCTAAAACTCCACTATAATGACAAAATTTAATCGATTGAAAAAGGTTGCTGAATGCGTTTTAAATTATTTTTGAGAAATCTTAATAGATTCCGGTAAAATGTTTCTGAAGACTTTTATTATTTACTAGCTGAGTGTGCCCGGCCTTGCTCGGAATTCAATATTAGTTTTATGCACCGATTTAAAAAAAAGTATGCTATATTTTTCTGTTTCATTTGTATGGGAGCCCCCCCTTACAGAGGGGGAGGGGTCTCGAACCATAATAAGAACCTTTCCGGGCCCCAAAAAACCCTGCATACAAATTTTCACGCCGATCGGTTCAGTAGTTTCCGTGTCCATAAGGGTCAGACAGAAATTCATTATTACATTACAAGAATGGCTCTAAAAATCTGCTATTTATCAATTTTATCTAGATGAACGCGTCATTGGGACGGTACTAATGAATATTTTTGGTCGCTATTGAAAATTTAGTCGATTGCTGAATTTATCTATGGGCCCAAATTAGGGGCATTTAGGCCGAAATTACATCGATTTCCCCTATGTGAAAAATCAAAATCTTGACAGACAGACAGAAATTAATTTATATATATATATAGATTAGTGCATATGCTCTGTTTTGTATTGTTCTATATCGAAGGGATGTTTGAATCAACGGAAGAAATGGTTGTGTTTCGATTTGGATGGCGAATTCACCCAATATTATAAACCTCCACGTGCAGAGGGATAGTTTATTTCTTGTAACAATGGATGTTGAACTAACATTTCGGATGACTGTAAGGACGAGACTGGTGCCGTTTTTGATCTTAAAAGTACTGTTTCAACGGAGTATGTTCACTGTGGATGGATTGCACTAATCCCAAGCCCCGCTCATTTAGCACTTTGTGCGGTTTTGTTGGATCTGATCAGTCGCAGTTGCTGTCGATGTCACCCTCATTAGATTAGAATGCTTATAACATCAACTCGATCATAAGCTGTGTGTCGTGGAATGAGGGGCTAAGTCTTCTGCTCCCGTTTTTTCCTAGTGAACAGAAAATCGTGAGTTCCCAGGCCCTTCGTTATTAGAAAATTTTAGAATCACATTTATTGCTCACCGTGGTTGTGCGACACTATTGAGTCATTGTCGCCGTCACCGGGTTTGAATGGATTCAACAACAACTCGATTATAATAAATGTATTATATGAAGGGACTTGTGTTCTTAGAGTGACCGTTTTTGTTAACTGAGCAGAATATCGTGGGTTTAATCTCAGGTTTCTTCTTGCATATGAAGTCGTAGGTTGCTTTGTTTCATAACATGAACAAATCATTTAAATTCAGCGTACCGTTTACTAAATAAAACGAACCCTGGTGCAAACCCAACTTTGTTATCCATCATCGCAGAGATTTCTTGTGGAAGTGTAAAGGATTTTTTGGCATCCAACGAAGCGAATATCACGTCAATCAATTCCATAAAGGGTGGAACGAACAAAAAGTAGGCACACAAAAGTAAGTGTAGTAACATATTGTTGATAAATTAATCATCTGTTTTATGTCACTCTGGCACCTTACTCTCACATGAAGCTCTGATATTGTTATGTTCACTCTATGTTTTGCCAAATACGCATTCACGGAGTTTGAGGTTCACCTCTTCCATCAAGTGTTCCGCAACCTTATTGTATTGTTAAATTAAAACATTTTTGGCTTGATTTTTGTTTGTTTTGTAATGTCAACTTATAACTATGTCCAGGGAAGTCGAGAAAATATCCAATCCGAAACATTTCCTAGATGGGACCGGGAATTGAGCGGTAATATTATACCTTTACTGACTACTCCATCTGAGGCCCCTCATCTCCTGTCATCCTTTACAAAAAATAATACCAGGGCCGGAAATGGCAGGTATGTAAATGTACTATTATAACGATGAAATGTTCCTTTACCTTCTGATAAAAGCTCAATTTCTGCGTAGCTAGTCAGGTGAAACGTAGTGACGGGCAAGCGTTTTTTGCTCAAATTGCTCATTTGTTAATAACTTTTAACTCACTTCACGCAACATGGGAAGCAATCGATAAAACAGACTTCTGGGGTGCATTTAGAAGAAAAGCAGTTCTAAATTTTTGAGTCCCAAAGACGAATTGAGAAACAATTGCTGTTGATGTTGGACTATCAATGAAAAAACTTATTCTTGTGTATTCAAATGTTGCGTATTCATATCTACAGTGAGCTCAGATCCTACTCTATCAATTGTTGCAAGATAAACCATATTTCGTCAAGTGAGTGCAAATGTATTTACAAATGATCAATTTTTGCGAAAAATATGGTATGCCAACCCTAGAAGCTTCTAAAACAGGCTTGCCTGAGGCTATGCTACTCTGACTAAAAGTACGCAGTAATTTAGCATTTCCGGAGAACTTCGAGATTAGGGCGTAATTGCTTTGGTAAACAAACACTTCATTTGACGATTTCTCGTGAATTAAAGCTCAATCTAAAAAAAACTAACAACACAAACAGGTAGGTGAATGGTTCATCTATCATTTAGTATAGTTTGTGCTCGAGATTTTTCTTTTATTCGCGAGAAATCAGCGTTTGACATGTTTGTTTACAAAAACAATTACGCCCAAATCTCAAAGTTTTCGGGATTTTTCAAATGGTTTAAGGAAAATTTCATTGTATAATGGTACATTTGTATAGCATTTTCTAATTGACCTGCATTCAGGCGCGACCGGTGCAAGTATGTATTACCTTTTATAAAGTAAACCATGGCCCACTTAGTAATGGAATAAACTCTTTTGCTTATTACAGCGCTCCTAGAAGACGTTTTCGGAAGCTTTTGACGTCTATTTGTTGGCAACAACTTTAACAATAACAGTGTATTAGTCTAGTTCATAAAACGCTCTTGTTTAGGAGACAGTCATCCTGCAAGAGGAGCGTATTAAAAAAATTGTCGCAGTCACCTGGAAAATCTATCGTGGTCCGCATCCAAGCTGACTAAAGTGTTGAATTTACCTATGTAGTTTTCGTTTTTGTTCAGTTTCAACCCAGTTTTGCACCAGTATCAACATAACTACTGTCAAAACGTTTTTTTTATTCGTACGGGTTGAACTTAGTTCTTCAGTAGTTTGAACTCCAAAATTGATAGGTTCGCACTGTAATTTTTCACAGTTTACTGATAGGGTTCACCAACATAATTGCATCTGAGCTGTCAAACTGTGCGTTGTTGGATTGTGAAAAAATCTTCAACATAAACATGCAAAACGTTGCTTCTGCAGTTCAGTTATTGGAATTGGAATAGGAATCGGAATCCGATTCCGATTCCGACTTCGATGAACACATTGACCATTATCAGAAAACCGAACAACAAAAAATGTCGGGTCAATAATTTTGTCAGAGACGTAGTGGAGCATTTCTCGGAGGAAGTGGTAATATTATAGATTATGATAATATGATAATATGCAGCCGGTAAACGGAAGTCAGTTCCAAGCGGCATTGTT